TCACGCTCCACTGTGACTGCGCGAAGATAAAAATGAAGACCTATTTCCCACTAGCCTGGTTTCTTCTATTAATAACACGAGGATTACCTATAGGCACGAAAAGTTAAGGGAAGGTTTGAACTTGCAAATTAGTAGTCAGTGAACATCATGATTTAGATCCACCATCTTCTCACCAAATGAAAGGAAGTATGCTAGATATCGCTCAATGAAAATTAAGAGACAAATGTAGTACGAATTCACGGACGGGAATCCTACCACCATCGAAGCGATAGATAAAAATCTAATCAAAATTGTTCGATTGAGGATACCGTAATGTAAAAATAATTTGTCGTGTTGTACTCTTTCCTTTTCGTCCATTGGTTATATACAACATTTTAAAGAGTTGTTTTTAATGGAACTTTCAACTAAGCCGTCAAAGCTGCATTGAATACAGGTTTCTAACGTCTCATATTTTTTGTGCTACATCGCACTTCTCAAGCTGATTTTGATATTGCGGATTAATTAGTGGTAAACTGAGAAAGTTTCCTTAAGTGGATTTTAGAGAAATTTTTTCTTTAAGGCTGTTTAAGGAGTTTCAAAGGTATATATTGTCAAGTTAATTCTATAATGTATGGATGTTGAACTGAACTATTTATCAATATAGGCAATCTTTATTTAAGTATAATTAACTTAGCTGTAGCTTCTATTCAATAATTTGCGGTATGTTTAAAGTTTGCGTTACGACAACACTCTAATACATATTGATTGTATGTCGTTGAGTCCTAGTTTATAACTCACACATAGCTTTAGAATTCATACTTTAAGCAATATGGGTTGACTGTCAAAAAACGAGCACGGAAAAGCCCTTACTCTTCAGATAATAACAATTATATTATTACCTATTTTCCAGTATCAGGTTTCTTTCTTCAGCCGGAGCAAAGGTAACCTTTAAGAGACGGCTTTTCTGAGTGTTTTCAGAATCCAACTTTTGTCCTATTCTATAAAGCCTACTGATTCTAATTCCTGCTACTTTTTCTTGAAGTAGTTTGTTTATTAAGGACTTATTGTGGCCTAGGTCGTGTTCAACTTTAGCCTTTAGTTTTTTTTCGGAAGATTCTTGTGACTTAAGAAAAATGACTGACCTCTTAGTGAGATTCGTTATGACTAGCTATGAAGTTCTGTTTCCTGAATTCTCATTCCTTCAGTTCGATTTGACGTCGGACGTACAAGTCTCAGTCTGTTTCCTCAATTTTCTAGATGTTACTATAAGCCAATCATTGATCTTATTTTCTCACTTAATCAAATCATCTACATCGTTTTGCTCCCCCATAGTCCGTTTTGTGTCAATATGGGAATTGGGCGCTGAAGCCGTCGATTCATATCTCAGAACCCTCTGTAATTCGTTTCTTTTTAGCGTGCTTTTTCTTGTTTATGACCGTACTTACTTCTGTGTGCTTGTTATCCACTATGTTATGAGGGTCCACCTCGATGGTCTCATTCAAATTTAAAGGTGGATTCATGGTAACGCTCCCTGCTTCCTCAAAAACTGACAGCTACTCATCTGCTGTTATATGTTTGTCTGATTGTATCTTTCTATCTAAATTCAGCAGCTCAGAAGTTAGCAGAGGCCTGCTTTGCAGCCGGTGCACACATTGTGACACCTTGTTGCAGCTGTCATATTGCATTTCATCCTCGACCGAAAGAAACACGTGGGTTTGTCACAACGATGTTTTTGTGTCATTAAAATTGCCAACGCAAAAAATAAAAAAATACTGATCCCTTGAATAAGTGTTTTTTGGGGCTCTGAAGTGATAGACACTTAACACAAAAGGTTGGGACTTCCATGTCGCTGTAACCGACAAATCCGGTCTAAATGAACATAAAAGAAGCCTTTACACCTTAGAATACAATCAGGACTAAAAGATTTGCTCCTTGAGGAAATATACCTTTGCCCTTTTAATTTTGCGCTCTCTTATGTGCGTCAATCCACCATATGAATCCATCATATGTATCACAGCCCTCACACATATCAAATGAGATCTGTGTGGCGCATATGTATTTGGTGCCTCCTTATACCAATATCTATGTGTTAAAATAAAATAAATAAATAAAAGTTAGATCTAGGTCAAGTAAACGTCTACGGAACGACCGTGAGTAGTGGTGGACAACGAGAGCAAAAGAGACGGAAAAGACAGCGGCTGTAGGTTACACAAGACAAATTCTTCAGGCTAATGAAATAAACCGGAATTAAGAAGTTAGACAATCTCGGAAAAAGACGGCACTCTCATCTATTCTCATCCCAGACGTTTAGAACGATGGACGGAACACTTTACGGACCAGTTCAGCTGATCTTCAGCTACTCTACAACTACCCACCATTCCCAAACAGCCTGAATGGAACATTGAAGCAGGTTCTCCAACTCTAGTTGAAGTTCAAAAAGCTATAGCTAATCTGAAACGATGAAGAGCAGGTGGTCCAGATGTCAGTCAGTCAGTTCGCTACAACGTTGGACTAGGCACATATATGCATCGGTCCAGGTTGCCACACCTCATTAGCAATTAGATCGACTAATATTTATCTGAAACCTGGAACTGGACGTAATCCCATCTGACTTGTCGCAATCACTGATCGTCTCAATATATAAGAAACGGTCGAAATCATCCTATGATAACCTTAGAAGGGTCAGCTTGACTAATATAGCGTCTAAAATGCTAGCCTCAATAATTATCGGACGTCTAACAAAGACTCGTGAACTGAAAGCACGATAAAATCAGACTGGCTTTAGACCTGGTCGTGGCTACACCAACCACATATTCACTATTCATCAAATTTTAGAACACATGTGTGCCTATTGACGTCCGACAATGGTATTTTTTCTTTACTTAAAGGCAGCATTTGACTGTAGACCGAGAGGTTCTGTGACAATCTGTCATTAAAAGGCGTACCTCAGAGGTACATTAACTTTGTGAAGGCTCTTTACTCGAACACTACCAGTCGAGTCAGAGCTTTTGGCGAATTGTCATCTGATTTTGCAACCTCAAGTGGTATCTAGCAAGGCTGTCCACTATCTTCATTATTGTTTAACTTCATCATAGACCAACTGCTGGAAACAACGTGCTTGTCGTCTAAATTTTCAGGAATCAATCTCCTACCAGAGGGTCCACTTATCGACTTAGAATACGCAGATGACATAGTCCTGTTTGGTGAAGACGCTTATAAAATCCAGTTTTTTGGTAGCACTGAGCAACAATGCCAGGATGTTTGGGATGTGTTTCTCCTCCTCTAAATGCAAGTTATTGCTTCAGGACTGGCGTGCGTCAACACCAGACCTAAGAATAGGGAGTGAAGTAGTCGAACGCGTCGACAACTTCATTTATTTTGGAATTCTGATCAGCCGTAGTGCGTTGGTGTCTGACGCAGTCTCTGCACGGATTCAGAAAGCTCGTTTGGCTTTTACCAATTTACGTCATTTATGGCTTAGGCGAGATATCCGCCTATCAACAAAAGGACAAGTATATTGCGCGACAGTTCGTCCTGTTCTACTTTGCGACTGAGAAACGTGGCCATTAAGAGTATAAGATACTCGTAAGTTACTAGTATTTGATCATAAATGTCCTAGAAATATTGATCGCATCTGCTGGAATCACCAGATAAGTAATAGTGAGGTTAGGCGCAGGGTATAAGGGAATGATGGTAGATCAGTCGATGAGGTTGTGAATCTTCATAGACTGAGATGGTTGGGTTACGTGTTACGTATGCCCAACGGTTGAAATTAAGTTAGGAGCGGCCAAACAAAAACGTGACATCAGTCTTTGAAGTCACTAACTTCTAGTCTGAGCCATGTTGGTAGATGCAGACTACTTGATTGGGGTCTGCGTGACTATCGTGACCAATAGTTGGAGACTGGGTGACATGGTTCAGAATCGATCAGAATGGCGTAGGTGTATACGCTCTTTGTCTTCCCTTAAACCGTTAGATTAAAATTGCTTTATATCTTTCCTTCTACGAACTAATTCTTTCTTCCTGTACTATATCCTCATACGAAATGTTTTTTTCGTTTTACTACCATTGGAGTAACTGCTATGAATTCGGTGTTCACCCTGTTGTGCTAATGAGGTGTGGCAACTTGGACCGATGCATATATGTGCCTGGTCCTACGTTGTAGCTGGCTGACTAACTTCCTTGATAGTTTGTTAGTCGTTTTATTGGTTTTCCAACTTGAACGTTGTGTCGCCATAGGATTTGCAGTAAAACCCCACTGTGTTTTACCTCGGTATAGTTATCCTTAATTATGAGTATTGACTCATAAGACGTAATTACATTGTGATTTAATTGTGATTATTATAAATAACATTTGAGCGTAACTGTTGTCATACTGAGATTGCACTTCATGAAATTTGTCAGACGATTCACCTAAGTTCGGAATTTATATACTACTATGTATGTTCATCGTTTGTGTAAATCCTTAAATATAGGGGAGTTTTTTAATTCTTTCACGTTACATCAACAGAATACGAGCAAAATAGTTGAGCTTTTGTTATGGCTACATATCTAAGGTCATAAGAGTATTGTGGAGTATTATGGATTGCGTGGAAGTTTTTGTTGATGAAATTAAGCTTTTATATATACCTTAGTAAAATATTCACTAGATATTTGTCATCAAGTTGAACAGATGGAGTTATATTAAAGGAGCCTAGATTACAAAATAAATAAGGTATTTTTATTACGTTGTCTGTTCTCATATCTTTTTCGACGTAATCACATTTATTCGATAAAGTTACAACTTTCTTTAGCACTTCGGACTATCACTTACACATCTGTGTTAAAAATGCTTTTTATTCAATATAGTTTTCACTGATTCTGAGGACTCACATAAAGTTCTAACCTCTAAAGATACTCAAAGAAACGAATTCTTTCAAATATCGAGCTCTGTTTAGAATTTGCTGAATCATAAACAGCTCAATAGTAAAGTTTCGTCGATAACCGTTTGGCTTTGCTATTTGAAAGTTAATCTGGGATCAATGAAAGATTGCCAACTGATTTTGCATGATGTCCCCGAAAACACAGAGTTAGGTATTGATTTGAAATTTTGGAAGGTTGGCAAACACTTTAAAGGCATTAAAGATATACCTCTAGGAATACACTTTGTCTACTATAGGTAAGTTGGGACAATGAGCAAATTGTCTTTTTACTCAAAAGTGGTCTTTTGATTTCTGCTACAGATTTCGTCTTGTGATTGGTCTGAAGATTTCCTCCTCTAAAACATCTGAGATTTAAGTAAAAAGTGCAGAAATTGAGTTATCCTAATGAAATATGATTTTTTAGCCAAACTCGATACTAAAAATAATTAGGTCAGGGAAATCTCCGGGTATGATAAAATTTATATCATCTGAATACTTTCTTGAAGTTGAACATTCTTAGAGCGATAAGAGATTTTTCACTGTTTTACTCAGTATTTCATTAATATGTATGGCGAGCAGTTAAGTTTACTATTTTGTTGATTTGTACAGCGAACAGTCGGGTATTACGTTCTGTTATAATTGGTAATCATCTAACCTGTGATAACCAGCAAAACCATAAAATTAAACCCGCCTGTAGATCATCGTATAAAAAAATTGTTTCTCTTTTAAAGAGAGATATTTGATACTCTGATTTTCCGTCACTTCGCTCTTAAAGGTTAGATAGCATTCCTCACCCTTACTTGATGAGTGTATTTCCACGCTTGTGATTAGTTAGTAATTCATATGAAGAATTTACCTCAAACATCTATTTTGGCAGTACAACTGCAGAGTATCCAACCTCAGTTAAATGGGACGCTTGTTAGTGAGCATTTCTTTCTTAACACTTGTCTTGTAACATCTAAGCGTCAATAAATCCGTATTCACAAAATATATTATGTGTGGAGACTTTGTCAAAATGGGTGTGATATAAATTATTCTCTTATCAGTTGAATGGTTAGTGAGAGAAAATGGTATTCTAGGTTGAGACAGCTGAAGTAGACCATAAGGTGTAGCCTTTTCAGAGATTGGCTAGTAGAGTTATCCACTTAAATTTCAATTAGTTTAGAAATTTCTGGAGTAATATACATGACTTCTATTGTTCTACTTGTCTCTTTTAATCAGTGCTGCAAATTCAGACTGTATGTCAGGTCAACGTGTTGGATTCGTGGCAAATTTCACTCAACCTGGTTTCATTGTTAAGAAGTGGCAGAAAGAAAAGGAGGGTAATTCGTTATATATTGCTTAGAAGATCAATAACTTTTTCGTACTCTTGTCCAGATTTCATAGATATTAATTTGACTGATAACGAAGTAGAACGTATTATTTCGAATTTCGATGAAATTTCTATGTATCTGGGGCAATATCCTTCAGAGTTGTAAGTTATTTACACCAGGGTTGACTTAAACAATTACCGTTTAAAGATCAGAATTGTCATTATCGTGATATTTATTTCTGTTTAATTGCCAGGTTACTTATTTTATAAAGCCATTAGGTTCTATGGTAGCTTATTTAGAAAGTTAAATGTCTGTTTCTCTTTAAAAGGGTTATAACATCCTAACGGATACACTGAAAATATTTCCTTGATAGGTCGTAAAAATGACACAACAAGGATTCTCGGGATTCAAGCTCGTTATACGTTCTGTCGACGATTAACTCACCTTTTGAACGATCGCTTAACTTTCCTTTAACATTTCTTCCTATTGCTTCAATAATATATTTCGTGTACCATGTAACTCTGAGATGTTATTATGAAATGATTTATGTAATCCATGTTTGTTTTTATTTCCTTTGTTATCATATGGAATTTGAATTTCAAAGTGAAACAGTAATTTTTCACGTGACTGTAATTTGTGTTTTAAAGGCAATAATGATATCTTCGTTATAATTACCTAATAGTTGGATTTCGAGTTTCAAATAATATGACTCCGGTGTCGAATTTCCTGTTATCCTAAAAACTTTGTCCTAAGTTAATCTTGAGAGTTACTCAGAGAGGAAGATATTTCTTGGTTTCAGCGTTGTTTACCAATAACAATTCTGCTCACAGATCAGTGAAAACCTATTAGATATTGAAAAGCGCTGTTGTGGTGATTGGTCCTATCAAAGTCAAGTGTATTTAAAACTGTATTGATATTAATCTTTATTGATTTACTGATTAATATCGTGTTACAGTGCAAGTAATTGGATTAATATGTACATAATTTATTTATAATTTTTTCAACTATGTTTAATATTCACCAGATTTGTCTCACAAACTGAGATTCTCAGTTTTATCTAGTTTCTGATGTTTAGTTATTTTATTTTAGTATATCGTTTACATCCCAAACTCTTTCTTGTAAATCTAGACATAGAGATTGGATTTCGTTGTCTAATTTTATAACAACATGTACATTAACTCGTCTTGTTCCCTACTGTGGTCGTCTGTATTCCTGTCCACACTTCTTATCTGAACCCTCCAATACCCAAGAACGCCTGACTCTTAAAAATTCCTATACGACTAACTGTCCAAATAAAAATTCAGAAGACCTCTTACCGAATTTATCTATTATTCCTGGTACAGAGGTAAGCATTATTTTGTTTGCTTTTCACTTATACAAAGTTAAGGTTTTTATAATAATAATAATAATAATAATAATAATAATAATAATAATAATCTTAATATTTGAGTAATATTTGGTTGATATTTTCAAGTATCATTCGTTCTTGGTGGCGTAAACTTCAAGCAAATACCTTAGACGATATCTTGTGGAAATGTGACTCATTGGTCTTTGTATTTGTTGGGACGATAGATCCCCAAAAACTCATAGTTTGTAATTTATCTTGTGGAGCTTGTATGCAAATGTATACGTGGGCATTTCTTACCACCCACGCACATAGTTGATTGACGAATTTATCGATTAAATGTTTAAATATTTCGATGGCAGTCAATTGATGAACTATCGATTAAATGTTTAAAAGCTCCATGACAATATCGATGTATATATATTTGTATATATACGTTTTAAGATTGTCTTTGTAGAAAAGTTTGCTGGTTTCGGGTTGTTGCAGAATATATTTCATTCCAAGCTTGGTCTTCTCTCTCTAGATAGCGGGCTGGGACGCCTCAATAGATAGCTTACTGGTCGTTGGTCACTGAATCTCGTTCTCGTTCGCAAGCTACGTAAACCCGTGATCTGTCTCTCTTTTTCAAAACCTAACAATTGGCGACGGTGGTTCGGAAACATGGATCCTTCCAAACTTGAATTATTACTCGAGCAGCAGATGAAACTTATTCAGATGTTAACAGATACAAAGCTTACGTCTAATATTCAACCATGCAGTTCTAATCCTACCACTACCGCACCATCAGTAGATGGTATCGCTAACAGTATCTCCGAGTTTCATTACGATCCGGAATCCAATGTCACATCTGATATGTGGTTTCGACGTTACGAAGACTTATTCAAATTTGACTTCTCTAACCAGGATGATGCTTGGAAGGTCCGCTTGCTGCTTCGAAAGTTGGGTCCTAGTGAACTAGACAGGTATTGCAACCTAATTTTGCCTCTAAACCCACACGATCGCTCATTCTCGGACACTGTTCAGTCACTGAGCCAACAATTTGGAGACAACTCCTCACTATTCAATGCGCGCTATTGATGTTTGAAGCTCACCATGAACGAAGATGCTGATTTTCTCTTACACGTAGGTATCGTCAACCGAGAATGCGAACGCTTCCGGTTGAAGTCGCTTACTGAAGACCAATTTAAAGCAATCATTCTCATCTGCAGCCTTCAATCTCAGAAGTTCAGTGACATTAGAACACGTTTGCTAAGTCTTTTGGACCAAGACCCAAAACTAACACTTAAAGATATTGCAAACGAATATCAACGCCTAATCAATCTACAACATGCGGTAATTATCTACGTTTGTTGGGACAACTAGATTGTAAAGTGTCTTTTCACGATTCGACATTTACCGGAGTATGTTACATCACACCAGCTGATCTTAATCTACTTGGGTTAGACTGGTTTGACCGGCTACATTTGGCTGACGTTCCGTTGAGCACCGTATGCCATATGGTGAAACAACCTCATGAACCTGAAGCATATTCAAAAGAACTAATGACGGAGTTTTCGACGATTTTTCAGCCTGTTTTGGGTCAGTGCACTGCTGTGAAAGCAACACTTCGGTTGAAACCTGGAGTTAAACCTGTTTTCCGTCCGAAAAGACCAGTGCCGTACGCAGCATTATCGAAGTTGACGAAGAACTTAACCGCCTTCAACGAGAGGGAGTTATTACACCTGTTTCTTATTCTGCCTGGGCAGCACCCATTGTGGTTATTAAGAAGGCTAATGGCACAATCCGAATATGCGCAGATTTTTCCACAGGTCTTAACGCAGCTCTCGAACAGCATCATTACCCACTGCCAGTCCCTACAGATTTGTTCACGATGTTAAATGGTGGGAAGTACTTTGCAAAGCTGGATCTCGCTGATGCCTATCTACAAGTAGAAGTGGCTGAAGATTCGAGGGAGTTACTTACCATAAATACTCATCGTGGCTTGTTTCAGTACAATCGCCTACTATTTGGTGTTAAAACAGCTCCATCTATTTTTCAGCAACTAATGGATACCATTCTATCGGGTATCCCGGGGGTTGCAACTTATCTCGATGATATCTTAATTGTGGCCACATCGTTAGAACAGCTTCGAGAACGCACGACAGCTGTACTACAACGCGTCAGCGATAACGGATTCAGATTACGCCCAGAAAAATGCCAGTTTTTCTTGAAGTCAGTTACTTGGGATTCATCTTTGATGCTGCAGGTCGCAGACCAGATCCTGAAAACATCCGAGCTATAAAATTGATGCCGACTCCCACTAATATCTCTGAGCTACAATCATTCTTGGGATTAATTAGCTACTACTCAGCTTTTGTTCCGTCGATGCATAACATACGCGCCCCGCTAAATCATCTTCTGAATAAGAACACTTGCTGGAACTGTACAAAAGAATGTGAAGCTGCATTTTGCAAGCTAAAAGCTGTTATAAGCTCTGAACTATTACTTACACACTACGATCTGTCCATGCCTATCATTGTCGCTGCAGACGCTTCAGCTTTTGGACTCGGTGCTGTCATTTCTCATCAGTTCCCCGACTCAACAGAGAAAGCAATTATGCATGCATCTCGCACATTAACCGCAGCGGAAAGAAAATACAGTCAAATAGAGAAAGAGGCTCTTGCCCTTGTGTTTGCAGTACGCCGTTTCCATAACTTCTTGTATGGTCGAAGATTTACTCTTCTCACGGATCACAAGCCTCTTCTCACAATTTTCGGTTCGAAATCTGGTGTACCAGCTCATTCTGCAAACCGTCTCCAGCGATGGGCTTTGATACTTTTGGGTTATGATTTTGACATCCAGTACCGGCGCACTCAACAGTTTGGTCAGGCGGACGCCTTGTCACGACTTATCAGCAAACACTATACGGCGGACGAAGATGCAGTTATTGCCTCCCTAATGACAGAGGACCACGCGCAATGTTATCTGACAACCGCTATTCGTGCCTTGCCAGTCACCGAAGCTGAAATACAATCAGCATCCAAGAACGACTCCATCATGGAGAGAGCGATGAAGTACGTCACCAACGGCTGGCCGCCAACTGGACTTGATGGTGACTTGAAGCAGCTTTACCACCGTCGGGACTCATTATGTGTCGTAAATGAATGCTTGATGTTTGGAGATAGAGTAGTGGTACCAGAGTCCCTTAGACCAAGGGTGCTAAAGCAATTCCACACTGGTCATCCGGGTATAAAACGAATGAAATCCATCGCAAGAAGCTATACTTATTGGCCCCTCATGGACCAACATATCGTGGATTTAGTAGGCAAGTGCACACAATGTCAGCAAGTGGCCAAGTGTAACGCGAAAGTACTGCCGGTCCCATGGCCACAGCCTGAGTATCCATGGTCCAGGATACATGTCGATTTCGCAGGCCCAAATAATGGAATCACCTACTTAGTCGTTGTTGATGCCTTTTCGAAATGGCCAGAAATCGTTCCCGTCATGCCACCAACGACAACACAAATGATGAAACTTTTGACAGACATGTTCTCCCGCAACGGATTACCGGATATAATTGTATCCGACAACGGTTCGCAGTTCACTTCAAGTCAATTTCAAGAATTTTGCAAACGCCTATCGATCAAGCATTTCCGCTCTCCACCTTACCACCCACAGTCAAATGGCCAAGCAGAAAGATTTGTGGATACATTCAAGAGAGCTCTAATGAAATCGAAAGGGGAGGGGACACCAGTGGAAACACTGCAGAATTTCCTGTTTGTTTACCGAACAACACCTAGTGATATGCTTCCACAGCAGAAGTCCCCGGCAGAGATCCTAATTGTAAGGAAATTGAGGACGATCCACAGTCTGATGTGCCCAAGAACCACCACCACCACCTCAGACCAGATCTCAAGCTGCAAGCATACGAGGTTGGATGCCCGGTGTTCGCTCGAGACTATAGAGTGAACCATGGTCCTTGGATCGAAGCATGTGTGGTTGGAAGATTAGGCCAAGTTATGTACGAGGTAAAGGTGGGAAGAGATACATGGACTAGACACAGAAACCAACTGCGGAAGCGGATAACGCCAGACCGCCTATCAACAGAAGCAAACCTCCCTCTTGACATCCTGCTTGATACCTTCAACTTACCAGCAGCCCAACCACGAGAAGAAGCTCAACAAGAAGCTGATCTCCGTTCCAGAAGGTGGCCTCCCAGACAACGGCGAGCAACGGACAGGATGCAAGTCGACCCTAGAAAAGTGCGCTACTAAAAAGGGGGGAGTGTTGGGGACGATAGATCCCCAAAAACTCATAGTTTGTAATTTATCTTGTGGAGCTTGTATGCAAATGTATACGTGGGCATTTCTTACCACCCACGCACATAGTTGATTGACGAATTTATCGATTAAATGTTTAAATATTTCGATGGCAGTCAATTGATGAACTATCGATTAAATGTTTAAAAGCTCCATGACAATATCGATGTATATATATTTGTATATATACGTTTTAAGATTGTCTTTGTAGAAAAGTTTGCTGGTTTCGGGTTGTTGCAGAATATATTTCATTCCAAGCTTGGTCTTCTCTCTCTAGATAGCGGGCTGGGACGCCTCAATAGATAGCTTACTGGTCGTTGGTCACTGAATCTCGTTCTCGTTCGCAAGCTACGTAAACCCGTGATCTCTCTCTTTTTTATCAAAACCTAACAGTATTCGACTTGATTTTATTGAATTCTTGGTTTAGCAAGATGTAAGCACTAAGTAGTAGTTTGTGCCATCATCTAGTTCATGGGTATGCATTTGTTTAGTAAGCCTGTTCTCTTTATCTTGTGACCTGTATAAATCTTTAGTAATGACTCAACGTCCTTTTTTTCAGAAGTAAAAAACCGTGGTGTTATGTCAATCTAGTACTGATTGCCCTTGTAATGAGTTCACTGTTTTTATAAACAAAGCACACACCTGGCACAAATGTTTACTTCTATACTGTCTAGGGTGTTAGGATGAGTGCTGTAGCCAATATAGAGTAACTGGGTTGTTACAATAGTCAAGTCCTACCACCACATCAGGGTAGTGACTGATCAGAAAGTTTAATGTTATGCAGTCTGAATTATTGTGTGTTTTACTTGTAAAACAATTAACACAGATTATTTCTTGATAGATTCGCTAAATTTCCATGTCTCATCTACTTCAGGTACGTTTTACTTCAATTCCAACAAAACCACTTTATCCACCTCTTTCATCTCCATCGGAAATCACTGCCCATTGTATGGATCAAACATATACCCTTTGTACTACTATAGACGTAATCTTCTCGAGCGTCACTTCAGAAAAAGCCAATGGCTTAAGTAAGGATCTGGAATCTACTCGCGAACTGCTCGGTGAATTTCAATTTGCTTTTCTCAATTTATTATTAAGTACGTATTCTTAATAAATCTTGACAAGTTATATATATATATATATATATATATATATATATATATATATATATATATATATATATATATCAAGTTATTGGCTGATGCTGAAATGATAGTTTGTGATCTTATAATTCAAATTTTACATCTTATTAGCTATAGCAATATAATAGATAACATAGTAAATGCTTAAAAATGTGCTTCAACCCAACTAGGTAACTTATCCCATTTTTATGAGATTAATTGTTTCAGTGATTTTAACAATAGATGTATTTGCCTTGACCTTTCCATTTTAGATCATTCAATAGAAGGCTGGGAACAGTGGCGTCGTATATTCCAATTACTTGCTAATTGTGAGAAAGCGATTGTTAATTATCCTAATTTGTACATTGACTTCATTACAGTTATTTATCACCAGTTAAATAATGCAAATAGATCAGAGGTGTCAAGTAGCAATTCAGCTGTGGAGTTACTTGATATTTTCTTTTCGGAATCATCTAGCTCAAGTACACAGTGCAAATTAACTGAACCAGGCTTTCTACCAACTATGATTGGGCGTCTTTTGAAAAATATTTATTCTGTTTGTACTTCTGATATAACTAACAAAACATGTTCCAGTGAAACTAGTAATATTCTGAAAGATCTGTTTAAACGTGCAGACGGCTTTACTCATAGCATAAAACATCGATTCAAATGGGATATGATCACTTCATATCAGTTATTACAAAGGTGTACTCCAAATATAACCGAAATTTCTATTGAAGAATTTGACTGGGATGGAGATGAAGCACCTGTCATTGTACAGCTGTAAACAAGTCTGAAATAAAAATTATCTGTAATTTTTTAATCAGACTTTTTGTCTGTGTTGATTGCTGCGTATTTTAAGACATATTTTCTCACTATCCTCGTTGCTCGCATGTTTGCTTCACTTTAGAAGCCTCTAGTTGGAATCAGTGCATTTTTAATGATTGTTGAGTGCGAAGTTGGTATGTCAAACTGAGATTTGTAATTCTAAATCAAATAAAGCTACTTCAATTGTTGTTTTATAAGAGAAAGGTTGGATTAGTTAATATACTTTCAATTTTTGACTTACTGTTCGCTAAGATCCCAACTAAGGTAAAGCATACAGGTTCAAGTTACTTCTAGCTACTACAACTCAGCTAGAATTTGACTAAAAATGTACGGACAACACCAGGTTATTAATTTGTTTAAACTTCCGAAGGGAAGTAATAATAATCCAACTGTCTTAGAGTTGTTTATTTTTATTTCAGAAATCATAGTTGACATAATCGGTTGTGATGTGCTGTGTTTGAGTCAAATTCTTTATCCAACATTGTCTGTATTTAGATACACCATCTTTACAACTACTTATGAATCACCAAACAGAATGAGTGTAAACAATCACACTTTGTGATGGTTCATTAGAAGCAGTCGAAAAGTTCATTCATCTAAGCTGATATATGAATGCTCCTGGTGGTGTGGCATTTGATGGCAGTCTGCTTATGGTGAAAGCCAGAGGATTTTATATAAATCTATGCCATCTTCGGTGCTGCCATGATTTTAGTCGGATTGTAAATGCTCAAATTTAAAATGCGTTCGTAAAAGCAGTTTTGGTTTATGGCTGTGAAACATACCCCGTCTTAGCTGGTTTTCGACCACCATTGTATGTGTGGTGCATATTTCTCGGCTCCCGATTTTTCCAGAATTTATATGTAGTAGTGGGAGATTAGTACTATTAATAATTCGTTATGATGATCGTTCTGTTTAATATTCGATAGAATTCTGACGAGTTCAATCATTAATTATTTCTGTTGTATTTTGGTAATTTTTGTTGTGTCCACTCCTCGACTGTAGCTGTAATCACAATTGGTTGATCACTAGGTTGTGATCAATGTCATGTGTGTCAAGTTCTTCTTAGTGCAGATCGAATGCTATCGACCAAGTTGGAATGTGGCCACTAGTCTAGGTGACTCGACATTGCGTGCACTATGTTGAGATTAGATGGTGGTTGGAGGTAGTCAACAGATGCTACTTGGCACCCTTCAGCAAGGTGTAACTGTAATCTTGAGGAACTGGTGCTTCCTGACGGATTTAATCCCGTATCACCCAGCTTCACAGTCAGAGACTATGACACAGGACATTGATCATCACCCAGTGATCAATCAATTGTGATTACATCTCAGTCCTACAGGAGGTCGGTCGCGGCCCGGATAGCCCAGTAGTAACGTCTCTGACTGTGAAGCTGGGTGACACGGGATCGAATCCGTCAGAAAGCACCAGTTCCCTCAAGATAACAGGTACACCTTGCTGAAGGGTGCCAAGTAGCACGAAACCCGGGTCCAGGGTTTCCTGCTGACTACCTCCAACCACCATATAATCTCAACTGTAGCTGTTGCTGTAGTGTCTGTCATTATGTTAAGCCCAAATACCTTATTATTCTAACTTTCGGACAGCCCATTCTATTCATTCTATTTGAGTCACATTCTGACCTTGTTAATTATTCGCTTATCAATATCTTGACTGTCTTTGTATGAGCGCGTGGGCGTATGTACACTTCTTATCCCGTTACTCATCACATGTCTGTAATTTATTTTTGTGTGCTTATAAATATTGATTAACTCTTTGTTACGCGGACAGTTGGCTTACCAGCCATCTCCACTGCGCGCCAATTTAGCTTCGCTTTCTCATCTTCGCATTGTTCCTCCGTTCGTTTTGTCTAATCAACAATTATACAAAATATATGCATTCAAAACTCCATTCTCGTTATTTGACTTATTTAATTCCGTTATTAACTAACGCGATTTAAGTCAATGATTATATACGAGGATAGGCGATAGCAATCATTCATACGATCAAATTGGAGTCAGATCACGGGCCACTAAATTGCCATAACGTGTAGTGGACAGGCTTACCTATCTTGATGGCTCGACTGAGCTAAATTGGCTGAGGCACACGTTCCTTTATGTCCTACTATTCCAGTCAGATAATCTGGAAAATGGTAAGGTTAAAAGCAACAACTTAGGGTCCGAGGGCGAAGTCGTACTGCTGACTGAAGAAGGGTGTGATAGCAGTAAGGCATTTTTCTCGGACAGTCAGTATCTGCAGTGATGTCACCTCACAACGGAAGCAAGGGGTTAGGAAAAGTCCACCCTGAAAATTTCACACCTCATCTTATCCCACGGATTTCCGTTTTCGGCGGTATGGCTTTTCAAAGTGTAAAGCTACAACTTCCCATAAAATGGCCATGCATAATTGACTTCAAGCGTTTGTCTCTTCGGCTCTATGGTATTGTTCTAAGGTCACTAAGATCTCTAACCCAGCTTCTTTTCCAGGTCCTTCAACAAAAAATCTCCTTCCACAATGTGGGCACCCGTAAAGTGAAAACCATCCTTATAACTCTAATAGCAACCGAGATCATGTTCACGATCAAATCCATTCATCACCTCTTACTAATTCTCCTATCCCCGTGACTAAACCTTCTCGCATCTTCTTAGCACTGTGCGCCACCAATGCTAATGACTTGAGTTCACGAAATCTTATTCCTAGTCTTCTGATGAAATCATACTCTAAACTACATTGTGGAGTTGTTAACGTTCGAACCTTGCGTCGGATAGGACAACAGGCTCCTTTAGTCAGGACTCTAGAATCTCGTGCCATCGATGTAAGGTACATTTTTAATATGCGCATACATGGTCCAGATTAGCCATTCATCTGACACCTTGTTAATATAGAGAACCGGCGCGACTCTCCCTTCATGTATCTGAAGACCCAGCTGGTACTTTCCATGGCCTCATTTGTGTAGGTATAGCATGAAGTTCAAAGGTAGAACATGCTTTGATATACTGGATTACAATAAACAGTGGCTTGTGCGCTGTCCTGCTATACGAGACAGTAAGAACTCAAAAAGATGGCGACACCACGTAACTTCGTTGTGTTCGCCTGCATAAACGCTGCTCGGATGAAGTAAAGGATGGATTTTATGGTAAGTTTTTCAGTCTTCGTAAAGCCAAACGCTCTGATGTAGTAATAGTGACGGGTGGTTTAAATACACAAGCTGATAGATTAAATATTACCTAAAGACTTGTGAATCTTATGGTGTATCAGTGCTTAAATTAATGATTGAGAGTAAAGTAGTTGAACTCATCGACCGATTCATTTGTCTTGGGAGTCTCATCAGTACTAATTGTTTGGTGTCTGACGAGATCACGGCGCGGATTCAGAAGTCTGGACTGGCTTTTTTTCAGCTTGCATCACTTGTGGAGTGAACGAGTTATCCGTCTTTCAACCAAAGGGTGAGTTTACTGCACAGAAGTTTGCTCCGTTCTATTTAGTGCATGTGAAACACGACCATTAAGAGTAGATGATATTCTTAGGTTACTGTTATTCGATCATATGTGTCTAGCAAGTGTTGCTCGTGTATTTTAGGACCGTCAAGTATGCAATGCAAGGGTTAGAAATATGGTACTAGATAAGGATCAACGGAGTCGTTACGCGTGCCCAATCACCACCTATCTCGACGTGCTATGTTGTTTGGTGTAAGAGTAGGCTGGAAGAAAGCTAGGGGCTGCCAAACTTAAACACGGCATCAGTTCATGAAGCATTGACAATTGGACTCCATCATGTTAATAGATGTACAATAACTACCTGGTTGTAGTCCACGTGATTATCGTAGCCGATGGTTATTAACATTGAATGACATAGCTCAACATCGTTTGCAATGGCAGAGGTGCATCTATTCTTTGTCTTCCACCAAATCCTAAATTTCTCACAAATTTTTATTGTTTTTTATTTCACTAATGTATGTTTTTTTTTCGAACCGTATCTTGGATGCCTAGCCTTTCCTATTACCACTGGTACTGTTACTACTTGTGCTACTCTGTGATTCGCTCTGACAACTACATCTTTCCATGCTAATATGCTATGACAACTTTAACTGATGTGCATACTTACCAGGTTCTACGTTGTGGCTGTCTGTTTTACTCAGTTTCGGCATGTACTCAGTACGAAATTCGCTACCGTTGTTTAAATGTATTTAATATTCGTCGAAAAGTAAAACTGTACAGAAAAAGTAGTATATTTTCATAAGACGTGCTCGCAGTCGCCGACCAGACATGCTTTCCATTATCTGCTTATTAGTTGAGGGCTGGGTCGAGAGTTTTGTTTCTACTCCTCAACTGGTAGAGTTAGATGAAGTATTCCCAAGATTCCTATTTAACTACTGTAAACAGTTAATGACATTCCTCTACTTATGATATTTTGGTTGCTGTATGATTGTGTTTATGATCACATGAACTGGATGGGCCTATTGGTAATTGTAGGATATTGTAAAACGAGATTGTTATCTGATTGGAGGGAAGGAGAATTAGTAGGATGTTGAGATTCTGTTCGGGCAGAACTTTTCTTTTTTAAACGGGGTGTCTCATGTGATAGCATCTAGAGCGAGAGTGGAAAACGGTTATAATAAAAAGGTGACCGTAGAAACGTGATACGATACGTAAGAATTGGGGTGAACTACCTGACCTTAATCGATCGAACAGAAAGTGAACTAAAAACTGCCTCATTTCAATAACTTACGGCTTTTTATTTTTTGTGTCAATATTTTATTTAGCATATCGCTTTATCCCGAAAAACATATTCTTCTGGTCACTGGTCTTGTGTCTGGCTTCAAATTATTCGAATGCTTAAATTAAGGATTTATGCTTGTGAGCAGCTATCACTAACTACACTTCGTTTATTGGTCGACTCTATTCATTGCAAAAGGTGCTGGATACGTAACTGTGAAACAAACGACAAAAAAGTAACTGATGAGTCCACATCCTTTGAACTAGTTTGCTTAAATTGTTTCTAGTAAAGGGATACAAACAGAATATACAAGCCAATTTAATTTAGTAATATCTGACTTTTCTGAGTTGCGTTGCCTCTATAATCTTTTTCAAGGATTTACTATGGAGTATGGTTTAATCTCACTGGCACCTATGAACATTTCCTGAGACGGGATATAGTGCTAGGTGTGGAGGGTCCTGAAACCTTAAGTCCATACATTCTTGTTAATAGTCCCCGGGATCTAGAATTCTCAAGTTGTGGTTAGTCAAATAATCCTCAAAATGAAGCCACGAAATCTAATGAAATTGTTTTAGAGAACGATTATATCATATGCCTACAGGTCATTTTGGTTGACCCTCAAAATTTGAAATGGTATTTGGATGACGGAAGTTCACAATCCTGTTTGCTCTTGAAATTTTACGTAATATTTGAAAAAACCAAGTTTCTGTGAAACCATACAAGTTCAGTAGTCGAGTGGTATATTGAAAGACATCTGAATATTTATAAACAGTTGTCTTACTTATGTATGTGGTATTCCGAAGAAATCTCGCACTTATTGAAGGCAGTACTCGATTGAACTTCCCAATTAATGTAAATAGATGGAGAGGTAATCATTCCTGTTCTACTTGAAATAAGAAGCGGCATTCAGTATATAGGTGGAAGCCGTGGTTAGCAAGTTTTCGAATAATAGAACTTGATGTGTTTATTTTTTTATTTATTTGGACACGTAAACATTGCTACTAGGGGACACCAAATACGAATGCGCCACATAATAACAATAAGGCCAGTAGCAGTTATCATTGATTTGTGTGAGGGCTGCCCGGGTACCTAAACAAAAACAGGTGTTTTTCTTATGGGGCCACACCTCGAGCCTTTGACCTGAAGGTCTAATCCACAAAGCAGTGAAGCAACTTTAGGAGATGCAGTCCCATGGTAGCCGGTGACCAACAATATGTTCATGCGCCTTTTGTTCCCTCAGGATACTGGAGCCCATGTGCACCAGTGGTTTGGAATCAGGGTTTTCCAACTCCCCTAGGTGGACTCAGTGTCCACCAACCTTTGTAAAGCGCCGAACATTTGCTTTTCGTCCTCTCAATTTCTTAAACAACACCCTCTCCGCGAGGAGAGAGTGAGTACCTCGGTTGTACCACGGCATTTGGGGGCACGACTGTTGAATGTTTTCTGTATAAACTATTAAGAACTAATTAGCCTTGCTTTCTATGGTTTTTAAATCCTTGATCGTAAATTCAACAACTGAAGTCAAGTAACAGTAAATCAAATCGTTAATGAAATAAATATCTTTGGAGTGAATTGTGCATCATGATTGTTCGGTTAAACATAATTGCCGAACTGCCCCGAATATTTCTAGTTCGATACTAGAACGTATGTTAAAGAGTCCCTAAGTAACAGAATCATAAATTCCCAGTGACTAGTTTATAATAAAATGTCATTGTTTCCTGAAAAAGTTGTCTTTTGTTGGACGATACAAACGACGGTTACATATGATTAAGCCAGCAGAAATTATTTTAAAAATGTTAGCTACTTAGTTTTAATATAGTAGTTTGATGCAGAATGCATTATATTAAAGATTTTAAAATTTACAAAAACTTATAAGAGTAATCGAAATGCCCGATATTATTAACATTGTGTCTCTTGATAAACATGGAAGTAATAATTTTTGATTTCTGAAATAAGAATAAGATATACTTACGCAAGATATAGGCATTCAACTTAGGTTATACACACCATTTGAATGAATGTAGAGAAACTGATTCACGATTAAGAAACAGGTAATGATTTCTACTTCATATGTATAGTAACAGTTAAAGTCAAAGGAGAAAACAAATAAACTTCAATATGTTAAAATAAAATACTTGCCATCCGATAATTATTACTTTTAATATGGCAATGTATGCGTACTTATTTATATTTGTGATTGTGCGTTAATTGTTTCGTAACACACGAAGGTCACTTCCGCAGTAATGCTTCAAACTCAGGTTGTTAATACGTTAGTTGATGCCTTTTTTAGTGATTGGTGATTGCAAATAACTCTTTCAAGAAAGTCATTATTACAGTTCTGATCAATGAATGTTGAAATATTAGTATTTTCACCATGTGAATTCACTGAGTTCGTCTGAGATGGAAATGATGTACGGATTAGTGATGGTCTTTCATAACCTAGTGAGTCAACACCACCACCAGTTTCCATTAACCAATAAGCTGTTAGACTGCGGTTATTGGTTGATCCACTACCACTATGAGGCATAGTGTCTACCATACTGGTTGATTTTGAATTAAATGATTTAGAATGTAGTGGTTTACTATGTGCATGGTTGTAATTAATCGGAACTAGATGACTCCCTCTTTGATCACTGTTATTAGCATTGGTGGTACTGAGGGCAATGAACTTATCACTGTGATTACTACTCTTGTCATGACAACCCAAAGTTTTATAAGAATTTGCTTTTGTGCCATTTTGATCGCGTAATAAGGTGTCTAAGCAAAAGTTTGAACTTGGTGGTTGGATTTGGTTTTGCCGATGTTGCAGAATCGCATTTGTTGAGTTTGTCGTTTTATCAATTCTGTTCTCCGTATTACCTTGTATTGACCGCGAATTCAGTCTAACCGAGGCTTGTCTATTACTTTCAGTACCATTCGATGTAGTCGCCAATGTTGTTTGTTCCGTGGATGGATCGGACATTGAACATTCATAAGCACCAGCCAGTGGGGCAGTTGATGAGGTGTAAATTCGGTTCTCCATTCGAGACTCTCGGTAGTTGAACTTATTCATACCAATGCCTTCAACACCAGGTGTTACAATGTAACCACGAGTAGCTGTTTCTGCATATGAACGGCTTTTTGTATGAAATGCCGATGGTTTCAAGTCTTTAGAATTGTTGGATGACAGTAGAAGTTGTTTACTGGAACTCATTCCTTGGGATAGACTGGTCTCATTAATTAGCGATGAATCCATGTCGCTTACTGGGCGTCCACCATCTAGAGACGTTCTACGTTGACAGTTATTAGAAAGCATGCAAAGTGATAAATCATTTGATTCGTGACGTGGTTTATTGGAACCATAAATGGATGCTTGTTGTCCTGATCTACCTATATGACAAAATAACAATAAGTGGTTAATATTTTTTGGTTGTCACAAGTTTAGGCGTGGAAAGCTGTATTTGTTCTAACTCTGAAGTCTTATCAATAGATACATAAAAGGGAACTAGAAATTCTGTTAACTGTTATTAACCTTCCACAATTTTTGGTGGGCTCAGGTATCGGTTATAAGGAATTTGAGGAGCCATCAGTTTTCTGATAATTTCTTTGAAATTACAACCCGATAAAAATGTCCTTGACTCCAATACAACCTAGAGATAAATAGGTGATGTTGATTCCAATAAGAATGAAATGTTTTTATATTGACTTAAACCATCTATGAATTAAGAACTGGTGAAAAGTTGCGAAATGAAATCAAGAAAAGACTGTTTACACATTCGGAGAACGAAAGGAATAGTAAAAATACCTATTTATGAAGGTAAATATAATGTGATAACCGAATCCTGATACTACAAAATAATGCGAAGAGATGGGGTAATTTTGTTTTAGATAAATGCTTAGTTGAATTCCTAACTTAGTATAATAACACTTCGGCTCTTCACCCACGGTTTTTGACTAAATAAAATACTGCTTGTATTGTTTTCTGTGGTACAAAATATAGAATAATTAAATGATATTTCAAGCACTTTTAAAAAGTTTCAAGTCATACCTTGTAAACTTTTAGGCAGAGGCAACGATACAACAAATGGTTGAGAGAAGGGGCTTTGATTATTTTGTGAAGCCATAATGAATTCATCCATCTTTTTGCATAACTGTCCAAATGTTGGTCTCATTTCTGTGAATCGACTCCAACATTGTAGTAGTTGATTATAACTGAAGGTAAACAGATAGTAATTGTTTTATTAGGCTGCTGTACAAAATAATTGAATAAATAGTGTGTTATAGTATTGCAATTGTGTTTGAAAAGTATTTCTTTTACCCATCAAGACTTCACTTGCTTGGCAGGTAAAAATAAAAAAAAGAAACTCATTGTTCGAGTCTAAAATGGTAAAAGTCACTTTCGGCCTATTGGGACCTTTGAAGTATCTTCGAGAAAAAGAATGGTATTTTTATTATGACTTCAATTATATGAGCTCTACAAATTCAGCAGATATTAGTAAATTAATGGGTATACTATTGTTGTGAAGCTATCGCAAATACTGATAGTTCATGAACTACTCTACTAATATCATTTTCTTTAGTTAAACCTTTTTGAAATACCTAGAACACCTTTTTCACGCAGCTTATTTAACTGCAAATGTTAGTAATATTATTCAAGACTACATGCAGCTATGGGTTTCTTGAACTATAATTTCCTGCTATAATATGTGTTCGTATAACATCTAAAACAATACAACAAAGTGGAAAAATGAGCACCGTGAACCGAATGTTAATCACGTTGTGACTGCCTTACAAGGAGACTCATGATTGGACGTTTAAATGAAAATTTATGCCGAAATGTGCTGAATATTACAAAGAATACTGTTTTATTTGATGTACTTCAAAAATGTGTGCATACTGTTTTCGATAAAGGTTTCAGTGCTCATCATGGAAATTTCTTTCCCAGGGTGTGAAACAGTGATATTATATCAATTTCGACACCATCTTTCATTCCAAAATGTATAACATATAAGCGAAAAGAATAATTCGTTCACTTGTTAGCATATACATCTAATAATAATACTGTGAATAAGGACAATACAATTTGTGAGGGGGAATAGTTTATTTTTTAGACTATAAATAACAATAAATTCAATATTTTTTAAATATTACACATCCAATTTTTTTCATTTCGGTCGTCTGGATTATATTCTACTTCTTTGTTATGACCACTAGGTTTCGTGTCGAAACACTTTCTTTTAATTTTGTTCTCATAGTGAAGCTTGAATGATTAGTATCCAAATATGAGGAACTGGTAATATTATGAACTCGTTCACATCTATTTACATTAAGGTTGTGAGATACAGTTTCAAAGTTTTAATCAATAACTTATTCTTGTTTGGACTTACAGTTCTTCTGGACAGTTTTCAGGACGTCCCAAAACGTGTCCACCAATAACTAAATTCATGACATCTACATTTGCTCGGCCGTAAAATGGATCAGCACCTAGGGTTAAAACTTCCCAGCAGGTAACAGCATACGCCCTAAAAGGACAGGAAAAGTTCATTAAAATAAGGTAATATTGATATTGATTACACGTGGCGTATGATATAAAATAAATTTAATAATATATTCGGAAGATTAAGCAAATAATGTAAATTTAATTCAGAATCAGTTAACTGAATGAACTTAGGTTTAATAAGTCATAAAAATACAACTACCCTAACGCTCAAACATTTGTTTATTTTATTGAAAACTGTTCAAAAGTAACAGCTAGTAAATTATTTTATTGGAATGTTCTTTGCAAAAGTGCAACAGCAGATTACTGGTTGAAGTATTACGGTTTCAACCATTAGGTCGAAGGTTTTAAACAAGCAATACCGAATTCCGTTTGAGAAACCGGCCACTATCAAAATATTTCATACAGACAATGCGGTTCAATATTGAATACATCAACATATACTTGGCAAATGAGTCACATGAGTAGAAATTTATATTTATTCTGGTCTTTTCCAGGAACGTAGTCAAATGATATTATTGTATCGCACTAGTCACTTCCATTTATTTGATTAGAAAATTTACTTTTATTTTGTATATTTTATATGAAACATTTGGATTTATTCATGATCACGCGACAAAATTTAAATGTAGGGCCGTCAAGCTGGTGTATAATTTACTTGAACCACTATGAAACTAAAATCTTACCCGAAAACGTTCTGTTAAAATAATTTAATTGGGGTTCACAAGTTTTTTACCTTGTTTGCTGTGGAACTAAAGCTGTATAAGTACATTAACAGTATTTTTCGAGAAATCAGTTACTATTATATCCATAAGTTACGAGTTTCAATACCAAAAATCGTTTCACATTTAATATCACTCAATGTCTATAACTGGAAAGTGGTTTAGTTTTCGTAGTAGATTTTCTGATGCAGTGACTTGTTTCTATAAACTTTTGCCAACATATTGTTTAAGGTAGTTTACTGGGTTTTTTTTAAAGCTTATATCACTATGTAAACAAAGCTAACTTTATCACTTTAATTTCTTATGAAGTCTGTTTTATTTATAATTTATGCAAAAGAGAAATGTGACCAAGCAAGCTATCCAAACAACGAAATAAGGTAAAAATCAATATTTTGATGTACACACTTCGAGTATTCAGAATCTAATGGATAGATTAAGAAGGATAACCTCAAACTCTACATATGGTAGTAGAATTCTTACTATAAAGCCATAAACTCTAGTAGAAAAATTCTTTTCATTGGATATTGTACTGTTGTAGTTGGATTTCAGTTTGTATAGATCAAGAGGGGTTAATTCTATAACAGTTTGGCTTAATTAATGTCAGTCATATTTATTATAAAAATCTTATAGATGAAATGTGTTTCTATTATCTAAAAACCTGTAATCTACATGAAGGTATGTGGATACTTTTAAAATTATTCTTCATAACGTGTGCAATCGCTAGTAAGAACTCCGGAATGTTTCTTAGGACTACCATTGTATGTAATAAGTGACAAATTTTCGCGAAGCTTGCATATTCGTTAAATAAATTTTAAGACAACTTATTGAGGCTAATTTTTCTTCACTAGATGCTTTCAAAAGAAGAGTTTAGCTATTATTCGCTGAAAATGTTGAAAAAAACCACAGAATAAAGTCAAGAATAATAACAATCATTCAGAATAGATTACTGTAGTTGTTTGCCAAATAAAATTATTTACTCTGAATAAGTGGTTTACATTAAGTCACAAAATATCAGAAATAAAAATTCCCTACTCATTGGGTTATAACAAAAAATATATTTATTGTTAAAAGATAGAAATGAATTAGTAATGTAAAATCCAGTTTGTGTGCAAGTTCAATCTAATAATATTTAAAGGGTTCATTTCATGTTAGGGATAATAGACAATGCTCAATACGGCGAATGTATTCAGGGTAGATTATAAATGAAAATAAATTTGTGTATAGTAATTAGTGAGTGAATGACCTTACTTATTCTTCCTTAAGGAGGTATAAGTTAACAAGCCCGTTAAGCATTTGACTCTGATGTATATGTATGTGGATATAACGTAAACGATAGATGTATTAATGTATCAATTACATACTGACAATTATGTTTAACTGAACTATAAAAACAGTTCTATACTAAGAGAAATAATGATAAACTACTAGTTCATATATAACCTATCTGTATCTCTATATTTGTTTATATATCCATTTAAAAGATAAGCGAGTTCAATGTATGTAGTGTTTACGTTTTTCTATGCGTTGATTAACAACATAACCATATAGGTGTTTGTATGCAAACAAGTCCAAATACAAACTCTGGTGAGATGAACATTGATAATTAATTACTATACGTATTACATCTTATTGTAACAGAAGTGTACATTTTGTGATTTTCTGTCTAAATTTTTTGCTTTTAGAACTGACAAAACCGTTCACACACAAAAAAAAAAACATTAATTACATATGATTAAATAGTTTTTCCACTGGTTTTTTTGTTTCGAAATATTCTTAGAAATCTTTACTAAATCAATTTAATTGCCATTTTCAGCTAGTATCGAAATGTGACGCCTGACTGATTGCATAGACTGTAGTATAGTAACAGATGTGACTAAGTTTCAAGTTATTTAAGATATTTAATCAGATTTTGAGTGTTATTATCTCACTTAATGATACACAAATGATTTTTTGTCCTCTTTAAATAATGTTAATATATGCAATAAATCAAATCAAAGACTGGACTGATATCAACTTTAAAGTAGTAGATTATTTGTCCTATGTCTTTTTTCAACTATAGACAATCACTTCATAGTTTATTAAGGGAATATTCGAATACAGACTTTATGAGTAGAGACCGGAGGTACCTAATCTATCTACCTAAATAGATACATATATTAGAACATTTAACTAAATATTGATTTTAAGAAGACTCATTTAGTAAGAAAGTTTCAAAACTAACTAATGTACAAAATGCTAATACATAAAAATGATGAATCAAAAGTAAAAAGGAAAAGAATTAAATTGTCAAGCGGATAACTCTAATATTTTCTATAAACATGTTTAACAAAATTTTACAATGTAAATAACATCTCACATGTATCTATGTCTGTATGAAATAAATCTAATTACACTTAGTATTTATCTACAGAGATCCGGGAAAGTTTGTCAAAAAGATTCCAACAAGAAATAGGTTTGTGTGTACATATGACACTTTAAAGGTATTCCATTTTCGATTATTGGGTTTATTCACGCGATTAGGCTAAGAACTTTACTGTCTTATCTAACCACGTATTTCACCATTGATATATATATATATATATATATATATATATATATTCACAGTTGAAATCATGAGTCGATCTTAGCTAGACCACTATTCAAGTCCCAGTAGCGCTGGACGGGCCTTCCATCTTAATATGGGGTTTCTTAGCACTACGTATCCACGATTCCACAAGCGGTAATTTAGCTCAGGACCTTCGTTATGGCGCTCAACTACTTGACCTCGAGACCACCGAGCCGGCATTCAACGGTGTTAATTTATAACTTAAATCAATCCATAATCTTGCTCAACCCTTCATCCATTAGCTGTGATGATTAATTGTCTCACACCTCACATGGACTGAACTCACTGGTCACGGCTTCTACTTAGAACTTCAAGAGTCAAATCATGAACCTAGTCAGTAGTGAGTGCGTGTTTGCTGTTAATATGAGGGATTTCAACGATGAAAATGCAAATAATTCTTTCGATCACTTTTTACGGATAGATGAATAGTGCTCAATATTACAAAATTTTTTTTAAACGGTACATACATAGTAATTATCCACGTTTACTACTATGCATATAGAGTCCTATCTAAAAAGTTTATTTCATGAGATCTGACGCCTATTAACTAATGACTTCTAGTAGTGTTCGTTGTTAATCAGAACATGAGTAGCTAAATAAACTATGGAGTTAGGAAATGATTGAACCACTTTCCAGCATCGTATGTTATTGACAGGTAAGGAAATGTCATATGCGTGATAATAAAAGATAAGAGTAAGTTCTAAACTTCACACCAGAAAATATTATTTAAACTTCTATATATCTTTTAGCATAGAGATCATTAGACATAAGACACCTTACAGTAATCACTGAAAGTATGCCGAAAACTGCACGGGATTTTTCACGGTGGTAACGGTCAATTGCTTAATTTTATCCCTTGGTTACAGGATTTTCTAATAGCAAACACGGTTAACACATACTTAATCGGGTACATAAAACCCCTAGTAAAATTATTTGCTATGGCTGAAATTTGTTCAGAAATATAGATAATACCATTAACCACAACTCTATATTAGTAGAGGGTCATTTATAACTTTGTTTTAAGAAAAGATACAGTAGACAGATATTCTTATTTAAGAGTAAACTAAACGCTTTTTCTTTAATTGCAAAGGATCAATTTACTGTTCTTCATACTGATATTGATTCCATGATAAATCTATCAAATTCAGAAGTTCACGATTAGATTTAATAGGCAAATTCATACATTATAATTCTAACTGACATTCCAACCATGTTTCTTCAGGCAACTTTGATATATTTTTTAAATTGACAGATGGTATTTTAACGGAAAGAGTATTAGAGTGTCATTTAGGTGAATTTTCTTGTTAACTTCTTTCTAATTTTTTGTAAGCGTTTGGAGTGAATCAACTTACTAGAATCCGCCGAAATATTTTTCATGTATATGGAATACCAATATAGGGTTTTAGAAAGGGGGAACTACCACAACTGAAATTTTTTAGAAATATGCTAAGAAATTTTCTCCTTTCGAATTAAAACGGAATCTTCTTTATTGAAGTTTAAGGAAACTAAACATTTCTCAGAATTTCAGAACAATTTAGCCTCCTCTCATAATTCATCTTATTGGTAGACTTATTCTAATAATTAAAATGATATGTGTTTGTTTCATGGTTGAAAATCATGGAACTATCCTAACAAAATATTTTCATTATATGAATGACTGATGACCGCTTTATTCTGAAAGGAACAAGGTGTTTTCCATTAAGTGTTGGACAGAAGCATCAATATTTCCAAAAGAAATAAAGTGTTAGACCATTACACAATGTACATTTTGAGTGATATTGACAATCATGCATAAATTCGTTTTATGTTCATTGTTTATTTGTTCAGGGGTGAACTATAGATAGATAAACAGTATCACTTAATTCTATGCACCAATATGCCTTATGTCATACGGAATAATTTGAACATCCTTACATTAGCAACGTATTACCTATCAGAATCTGATAATCATCAACCTACAGATTGAGTTGCAATAATATCTAATCATTTCAGCTAATTCAACTTTGTTTATAACTAATTAATACTGAATTATTCTTTTTATGTAAGCGAAAGGCAAAACTCCTTAACCTGTGTTGTCAAAAGCGGGATATTTACGTCAGATTTATCTAAAAACTAGAATATAGAATGTGAGTTGTACATGCGGGTATTTCAGTGTTAGTTAATAATATCAATTATGTATCTTTTTGATGCTCATTATTTACAAATAAGTATATAAAATTATAAACTTATGGTCTGTAAAATAACTTAAAAGACTTAGGACCACTTCGGGAGAAATACCTTGTATAATTAAAAGAAACATGTTATCCAGAATCACACATGTATTAATAGTACACTGAAGCCTGGATATAAGTAATGGTAGTGATGGTATGTTAGACGAAGATAAAACACCAGTGTTTATTTCACACAGAGAGAAGATATTTTTTCCAACGGAACACTCATATAAATATTTTCTAGTGTATTGAGCCATCATATTTTTCAGGTAAGCAGACGTGAAACTACTTACCCACCTGTTATTAAATTAAGAACGATTCTTGGATAACTGTTCTACTGAGGCATTCTGTGAAATACTTGGTGAAATGAAACCAATTATAGATTTTTTTACATAGACCGAGATTTTACCCAGTAGCTACAATACTAAACGCGGTGATCAATAGGGAAATAATTGCTTACCTTACAGAAGTCCTTTTAAATATTTTTGTCTCTTCTTTCCTTTGGAGTTAAATTGACACATTTCTTTACTATAGACTTCTGTTAGGCATAAAGTCACGTCATAGAAACTACTTGGTCAATGTAATCGCTGTATAGGTTTGAATACTGAAAAAGTTCTATTCTCTCACCATTCAGTTAGCAAACCGTCATCTGATATAAAACTGTGCATAATCAACAGACAGGAATACAATTTACTAGCCAGTATATGAGTCTCCTTATTCATTTGTGAATTATTTTGATCAGGAACAAGTTTATGAGTAAAATAATCATGAGTGAATGGATTAAAATGCTACCAACCCTTCCAACAATGTTTACTATCTACATTTGGCATATTCTATCACATCCAAATAATTCTGATCTAAAACAACTTAATGTAATGATTTATTGAAAAATCTGGAAACCTGTTGTTGAGATTGTATAAAACATTGATTTACCAAAAGTTGTTTGTAAGCACTGAACTTATTTTCCTTCCCTCATTTGTTTTGCACCCAAAACGATCAATAAATTCTGGAAATTCTTTTACTAAAATGTTATCTATCATTTTAGTTTATGTGTCTTCCTGTGCCTAACTGTTTATTGAATTTGAATTATTATATTGTTGTTTTCACTAATTTTCCTAATTTTTCATGCCTTGTACTTACTAAAGCGTCAAATGAAGGGTACATTTAATGGTTTGCTGTAAGTGTTTTGCTTTTGTTTTTTGAAATATTCACATATAGAAGTAAAAATCAGTAAATTATGCAGTTACAATCAGAGCATTGGTTATTTGTGTATTATGGTATCGAATAAAAAACATAATGAATGTTTTGATTGTGGAGTTTAAAAACAAAATGACTCCCACTTTGTTCATTTGAATAGATGTAAGCAGGAGTGCTGGTAATAAATACAGATGAATAGATAATTTCAAGGTTACAGCTAACGGAGAACAAGCAGCATGAACATCTCATGTATTGATCTTTATTTACGAGCCACCCACTTGAATAAGTGTTAATCCTAATGTAGTGTATGATGAATGACTCCTTGGGAGAGATTATAATCCTTGTTACAAAGCAGCTATTGGTTAACTACTCGGTTAACATTTTGTCATCCCAATTATTACCTCTTGAGAAAAAAGAATGTTTATCTTTCCTGAATGGATAGAAAATATTAAAACTACGTTTTTAGGCTTTAGAACTGGATTTCGTAGCTTGCAACTCATACCACTGTATAATATTTTTATTAGATTTTATTGAGCTTCCCTAGTAGCATTAAGAAAAATGTGTAATATAAACCAAAAAGTGTAGTGGTAGCTAATACTAATTATTTCCCACTTACCAAACATCAGATTTTGTTGTGAATAAGCCATCACGAATAGCTTCTGGAGACATCCATCTCACAGGTAATTTGGGTTCATTGCGCTTACGATAGTAATCGTTTTTATAAATATCTCGTGCTAGTCCGAAATCACACAATTTGACTATACGTCCACTTGAATGATTATGACTCACTAAACAATTTCGTGCTGCAATGTCTCTGAAAAAAGAGGTTATATGCATTAATAATTAACAGTTTAATACAATATCATTGCGGAAATAGATATAATTGCATGTCTCAGTCTTATAAGGTCGAATGGGTCATAATAAATTATCGGGGATGAAGTTGGTTTCCCTCATTAATAAGTAGAAATTGTCGAGCACATGGTTAGAAATCGGAATAAGCAGAGATCTGAGATTAGCACAACTGCCAAACCGTCATTCAGTTACAAGTCTCTAATAAAATTAATTAGTAGCTAGTAGTGAAACTAAGAACATTCTTTTCGTTCTACATGTGACTTGTCAGCTGCTTATCGTATCTGGATCTCAGCGCCGAAGATTACACTGATATTAAGACACAGCATCTTGAGATTCAAACATTAACCCTCTATCTATTTAGCTATTGAGTTCAAATAGCTATCAGATTGTGCTACAGCTATAAATTTAGTTTATTCACCTTTAATAAAATCTTAATTTTTAGCTTGAAAGAGTAAATCAGCCACCGAGATCAATAACTTCCTCATAATTAGCGAAATTTTGTAATGGGTAACACAGTTAATTCAACATTCCAAATTTGAATAGCCATAAGCTGACCAAGTGGATGAATAACTGTCGTATAATACTAATTACTAAACAACAGAAGATTCATTGAGTCTCTCACTGGGGCAAAACGAAACACTGATGCTAAATAAGTGTTAGCAAAATGCATGTACACAAATGCACAGGAAATTTGTTCATTACTAGTTAAAGATTGGTGTCATTTAGAAAATAAGTGAGCGAATTCATTTATTTTGGTGGCTTGTCGAAATTTCATGACAAATGTGGAATAGCTCAGACATAACAATTCTTTAAAATTCAGTCCTGGTTAAATTTTTTACTAAATTAGTAAATTCCAAACACCTCATATATGTTAGATTTCACAATGAGACTAGAGAAGTTCAGTTGTGATAGTACCGTAATTCTGACCACAACCTCAGGTTTATAAACCAGTTGAGTTCATTACTATCTATAGGATCAAAGATAAAACAGTTGATCCAAGCGTTTTTCTTCATCTTTCAATTATTGTTAACATTTCAAACATTATGTTCCTGTCTAATCCATTAGAATTCAGTCAAACATTTTTAATCTCTCGCATGATGGCGAAGAAACATGGAAAGATGAAAGTATCTTAGTTATTCATCTTTATAATGAACCAGGAATTTCACAAATTTAAATATTGTATTTGGAATTTGAATAGCTGAAAAGTTTTGAATCTTTTTCAATCTTCATCAAGCTATTAATTTTGCACTACGACTTTACACTAGAATGTTCATTAACAGAAGATAATAGTATAAGATCTTCATCAACTATGATATTATCAGTAGTCTCAACAAAATTTATTTGTTTCACCATGTCTTCTGTTAGCAAGTCATATAAGTCACAGGAATATTTCATAAATACCTTTACGCTGAACCAAGTAGCAGATTTTTCCTTAAAATCATGAAAGAAATGCTTAGGATACTGACTGCAAACACACTTGTTTATTTTCTAAAATAGTAAGTTCTAGTATTAACTCAGTGTTAAAGCCATAATGTTCATAATAAGTAGATTTGAATAAAAATAAGGAGTGGAATTCTTACCTATGGACAAAGTGTTGTTCCTCAAGATAACGGCATCCATGGCATATATCTCTCATTATAGTGACTAGTGCTGGTAAATCTAATTGTGCTGTCAATGTAATAACGTTTGAAGCACTCGGAGTTCCACCACCTGGCGCTGTACTAGTTGTGCTCGTGTTTACTGAGGACCCATCAGAACCTCCTGTTCTTCCAGCAGCCGCACAGATAGCTGCAGCAGCAAAGACATTCGCAGCTATGTCAGGTGCTATTCTAGGACGTGAACGGTGAAGATAATCCCTTAAATTTCCTTGATCCATCATTTCTAGGACAAGACATTGTTGTCCAGGTGAGTCAAATGACACACCGAAGAATCGTACAATATTTGTATGTTGATATTTGTGCATAAGTGTCGCTTCACGTTTAAATTCAGCTTCAGTTAGTGATTTACAATTTCTTACCTGATTTAATTAAAAGCGAAAAAAATTGTTATCATATCTTTTCACTATCTTTGTTTAAATAGTTAGCTTATGAGAAGTGGAATTTATTTTATCAAACTTTCTTCACGATACCCACGGAATATGGTGATAAGATTCACTGTAGATTAATGCTATTTTGCCCTTGATATGAAGATAGAGGATCTATAGTTGAACAACTTTCTGAAAAACCCTAATCGTATATATTTTTAACCAATGTCATAACATTTATCGAACTCAATTTAGAATATTAGGCCTTGAACCTAATCGGCAATAATGAGTTCGACGTTCGATCTTATTATTTTTGACCAACCCCAAAAACTTGCCATCGTTTGAATATAATCAACTAAGCATTTAAAAACTGAGTAAAATGGTCTATAAATGATTAAACGCCGTAAAAACAAGATCAGAATAAGAAATGAAGTTAAGAAACGTCAAGGATAAACAGCAAGTTGCGTAAAGAAATCTAGAGGAAGAACAGAATCAAATTATGATATTGACAAAATTATTTATTACTAGTCTGACTTCAGTTTGAAATCTGCTTTTAATCATGGTTCGAACGGTTGTAGTAATAATGATGATTTCTTAGAGTGATTAATGTCTGATAATCGAATTTGTACCTATTACACCTACCATAAACTATTTGTTAATGGAAAAATACTATTTCTAGATGGGGATAAAAGTCATGTTACGTAGGGCTGTGGTTAACATGTTCAGATAGTAAATTTTCTGATTGCATGTCTAAGTGAAATTGGTTCTAGTCCCTGGAGAAAGGGATATTTTTCAGGTTTGGAGATACTCTCTGTTAGTGAAAGACAATAAATAAGCTATCGAACGGTAAAATGTATTGGTTTAATATCCATTTTTTAATAGCAAAGCTTTTTGTTATCGTATAATGTGATTGACAAACTTTGTTCAGTACTAAAGGGTAGACTGAATGAGAAAAGCTTACTTACTTGCTTACGCCTGTTCCCTCTCATGGAGGAGCATAAACCACTTACCAGCATTCTCCATCCAACTCTATCATGTGCAATCCTTTCCAGTTGTTATTCATCTTTTTCATGTATGCTATCAGTTCTCGACTCAATGTGTTCTTCAGCCTTCCTCTTTTCCGTTTCCTTTCGGGATTCCAAGTTAGCGCTTACCTCGTTATGCAGTATGATGATTTCCTCAATCTGTGTCCTATGCGCTTCCAGCGCCTTTTCCTAATTTCCTCCTCAACTGGGACGTCGTCTGTTCTCTTCCACAGTAGGCTGTAGCTGATGGTATCCGGCCAATGGATGTTGGGTATCTTACGTAGACAATCGTTTATAAATACTTGCATTTTTTGATGATGGTTGTAGTAGTTCTTCAAGTTTCAGCTCCATACAACAGAGCTGTCTTGACGTTCGTATTGAAGATTCTGAATTTGATGTTGTCTTTCAGACAGTCGTTTTGAGTTCCGTGTGTTCTTCACCTGTATGAATGCGGTTCTTGCTCTGCCAATCCCTGCGTTTACGTCTGCATCAGATCCCCCTTGTTCATTGATAATGCTACCCAGATGCGTGAATGTTTTCACCTCTTCAAGAGTTTCTTCATACAGTGTGATTGGGTTGGTGTTCTCTATGTTGAATTCGAGGATCTTGCTTTTTCCCTTGTGTATGTTGAGGACTACTGATACAAAGGCTGCTGCCACATTGTTTGTCATGACCTGGATTTGTTTGTGTGTATGGGATAGAAGAGCTAGGTCATCTGTGAAGTACAAATAATCTAGTCGCATTTAACCTATCCATTTTATTCCGTGCTTTCCCTCAGATGTCGAGGTCTTCATAATCCAGTCAACCACTAGAAGAAAGAGAAAGGGAGAGAGCGGACATCCTTGTCTGAATCTGGTCCTTACTTGGAGTGGGCTTGCTAGCTGTCCTTCATGTACGACTTTGCAGTTTAATCCGTCGTATGAATTCCGGATGATGCTGACGATTTTCTCAGGTACTCCATAGTGTCGAAGAATTTTCCACAATGTTCTCCTATCTACACCATCAAATGCTTTCCCATAGTCAAGAAATTTGATGTATAGTGACGAATCCCATTTAGTTGACTGTCCAAGGATGATTTGTAATGTCGCGATTTGGTCTGTCCGTTTTTTAGCAAGGTTGTGTTCTACGGGATAGGGTTTTCGACTCCACGCTCAACCCTCCCCTCTTTACCCGAGCTTGCGACTGGTAGTAGCCCTAGAAGAGCTACAGGCAAAGTTTTGAATAATTCAGTAGAGACTATTTTTTCCGAATTATTTTGGTTAGCTATAAGTGACCTCTAAGTTTCCATAATGATGAAGGCTAAGTACATTGTGTACTAGTCTAATTATCACAGCTTATTGAGTTTTCTTTAATCAGGTTTCTTTTTGTGCATTTCATTTCAAGTATTGAAAGTGAAAATCGATGAAGTCACATTCTTCGATGTAAACATTTCAAACAGTCAAGAAACTGACTGGGATTTTTTCCCATTTATATTAGCAAATAGACGCGTAAATGTGTAACCTTGTGCGTACACGTTTATCTGTACATATACTAAATTTTTGTGTGAAAAAAGTGGACACATACCTTAAAGTATACAAGTACGTTAAAATATGTACAACTGTTAGACTGAACAAAAGTTTTAAAATATAAACAATTGGTGAACTTATCGATAGATATACTAGTCACAGTAAAAAAAGATATTATTTATGTAAGACGGGTTATTTTACAGGGAAGAAAGCTTTTTCATTAAAAACATGTCAAAATCTAAATGTACTGATGTTTTAAAGAGAAATGGCAAAAGTTTTGTATTGAATATAGGTATTTGGAGGCAACAGATAAAACAACAAATAAATGGAAACAGACAGCCTTGATGGCAGACACAATAATAGTGAGTCGAAATATAAAAAGATTTATGTAGGTTGAGAGATGTTACTTAGAGTTTAATACTTTTATAAAACTCTTCTTTTTTGAACTGTTTTAAGTAACGTTTCATGAAGGATATAGAGTATTAGGTGTTTTCCTGGTTCGTTTATTTACTAATGCTCTTAAACTAGAAAGCAATTTCGAATATTGACTTCAATTAAAGAAGTTATAGTCTCTTATTCTGTGAAATAAACTATACGTACAATTATTAACTGAACAGAATGAGAGGTATCCAAAATTCTGCTTCAGGTTAGTAAGTATTAGATTTTAAACAATAACTTCCTAAAGAGGACGATTGACGTAATCTTGGTTTTACCAAATGACTTTTTAATTTACGAAAGTTCTATTGAAAACTGTTGAAAATAAGAATATGGTGCTTAAATTATACCCAATTTCATTGATACGCTATTGACTGATACTTTATAGGCGATCGTGAAACTAACTATTACTTTTGTCCATTATGGCTATTAAATAAAAATAACCAAGTGTAAACAATGCAGAATAGTTTTGGTATGAAAAAGAAACACTTCCTTAAAGGTTTATGGTTAAAATGGATTCTTCCAGTAGTTTTATATTTATCTGTTTTCCTCATTTTTATTTTTCAAGGATTAACTGAAGTTGGGTCTAGTTATTAAGTGATAAGCATTTTCATTATATATTAAGAGTTATCACTTGATGAAAACTCTACAGATGCTTGGATTATTTATGTATTCTGATACATGGAACACGTATTCCTAACAGATAATAGATCTATACTTTTTGGAGAATTTCATTGTCAGTTTTCTTGATTGTTGGCATCTAAAAACAAGAAAACTGAGTTTTGGCTAATAATTTTTCCGAATTAAAAAATATTTACAAGGTATTCCAGTTTTAACTGCTACAGCTTAGGAGGACTGGCTGTGATGTTACAGTTTACTTCATTTTGAGTCTTTAATAGCATCTAAAGTCGATCATCACATACTGAAAAAGTATTTATACCACTTAACTTCAGCGAAGCAAAACTAATCTTTTGATGTACTCAAAACTTATACGTTCATACACGTCAATTTATTTTATAATTTATAGCATTCTATCCGTCAAAAGTATTGAGTTAGTTTTAGGGTAACACTGTTTATTCATATGCTATACCTTGACAGTATGCTTAGTTATTTTCAACCTAATTTAAAATTTAATGGAAAAAAATGTGGAAGGAAGGATGTATAATCAACCTAAACTGAATCAGTAACCTACTTTGAGTGCGACCTTTTCAAATCGTTCCCCATTCGCATCACGAACATGAAGCCAACCTTCCCACACTTTACCAAATGCTCCACACCCAATATAACGTAGAAAACGTATATTTGCTGCTGGTATCTGTGGGACTTGTTCAAAGTTGTTAAGATCAGGTTTACTGATGCCGTATAATGAATTAACTTCTTGATTCCATAATGGCTCAAGGGTAGCTAAATCAAGCGGTAAACCACTCGTCGTTAAATCACTACCTAGTCCCAGAATAGATGAACCATTCCCACTGCTTGAATGTAAACGTCTTGCTGGATTGAAACTAATAAAAAATGAGTGTTTGTTAGACTTTCCATCCCTGTGACGACCTGAAAACAAAACACAAAATAAACTAGCTTGTATAAGCCTAATTTAATTGATATTTTGAGACTAAATTAGCACTACTATACATAGTAGTCTATCATAATTATCGTTAGACAAGTTCCAATCAGAATTAACATTCTAGGCAGTATAATAGTTGGAGATACTCAGTTTTCAAAAGTAGAGCATCATGGCTCCAAATTTCAGCAAAGCTCTATTTAAGATATTATATTGTACAATATTAAATTGTATTATTTTTAAACACTATGCATCGTGATATTATCTCGGAAATTAAATTCAAAGATATTAATGGTGAAAAGAACCTTTGATTTCACTGAGTGAATTTAATAAAATGACTAGGACAGATTGAACAATTTCTTTTCCAGGTTTAATATTTTTTTTATCAGTTTCCAATGCGCTTTATTGTTTCATTTACATACTTTTCATAAAATATAAGTCCTAATGTAACTTTGCTGAATCATTATCTTTGTATTAAATTTTTTTATTTAAAAAAATGTTTTTCTCTGTTTTTCTTTCGAGTAACAAATGTTCATTATTTTTAGCTGTTTGATAAATTTGGATTGTAAAAACAGTTAAATGAAGGTGGTTAACTAATCATGTTATACTAAAATACTTATCTCTGTTCCTCATAATTCAAGATACTTCCTGTTTTTATTTAATACCCATTTGTTATTTTGTTTGTCTGGGACCTGATAACACTAGAAATTGTCTGATTGGATGAAAAAAATAGTCTAGGACAAAAGAATGTCATTCGGAATTTATATTCAGCGTCCATATTTTATCTTCTTGAATTTGTTTTTTTTACTTTTCTTAGGTATGAACTGTTTCATCTAAGTTACTGTGCCGGTATTATTTAGAGATATTTGTAAATACTTTTAATCAGCCTAAACATCTGAAACAAAAAGAGTGACTAAATTTGCAAAATGATTATTTATTATTTGGTTTTCTGTACTAACATTTGATTTAGTGATTTGAATGAAGGTGTTAGACTTGAAGAGTTTAATTTGAATTGATATTAGATTATTAACCAAATTCGAACTAATGACGACTTGAGTCTGTACGTTGGAGTCTCTTTTTCATTAAAGAAATGTTGATCTAATGTTGACTGAGTTAAAAATCTACGGGAATTACTGACCTCTATATGCATGCAAATTCTTTACAATTTTAGACCATATTTTGGTTAATAAAACGAAAATTTCTAAAGAAATTCTAACTGGTGTTTACATTTAGATTAGGCTAAGCTCTTCTTAATTATTCTGATCAATCAATCAATCAAAGTATATCTTCTTGTAAATCACAATGAATGGTTTATCAATTTGCTGAGAAATAAAACCAAGTTGTTTATTTGTAGGATGAAATAAAATCGAGTTCAAACAGTAAGACCACTATCTTTACAGAGTTATCCATAGATTATGAATATTAAAAAAAACTCATTAAACATATGGAATTCCATTACTGATATCGTTTTATTAAAGTGACATTTCATGGGGAACCCTAAACTTTCTTCAAAGACTGATATAACGCATTATGTTTTATTACTGATTTATACTTAAGCAAGATTTCTTTTGATATTTCTCATATGTAATGTGATTTTAATTGTGAATACTTTTTTACTTAGAAAAAAACATAAACGACAACCAGTTGAATAGAGAACTATTTTAATACCTTGCTTTATGTGGCTGTGTACTTAGATTGTGGTTACCCACCATTTCAATGTCTTGGTAGTAGTTTCACATTTAAGATCACATTGTTTGTTAAAATATGGCAACCTGATGTGTTCGAAAATAAGAACAAACCGTGGTAGATAATTCATTGTATCATGTACTTGTCAACTTATTCTTCTAAAATGTAATACACTTAATTTCAAATGATTTAGTGCTGGTGTTTCTTACAGGTTATCTCCCCCCTCCAAAGAACAACGAAATTTATCCCGTTTTACATTCAACGCTGCTCGTTGTGTGTATAAGAAGTAAATCAAGGGTCAGTGATGCATTAATTACAAAACTGATCTATTCATAAAAGAATGCATTAAAATTATCTGTAAGGTTCCTCAATTAGTAAGAGTAAGATTTAACAGACTTGATAAATACATTTTTAGCATTATTTCGTCTCCCTGTTTGACTAAGGCTGAAAGACTTTGAGTTGATTTGAATAATTTTCTAAACATAAACTCATAGTTTTGTAAACTACTTTTAAGATCATTCCTTTGATATTTTCGATTCGGAATGTCTTTTAAATCATGAGTCATAGTTTAGACTATGATCATCATTCATTCTATTGAAACAAATAACTGAAATATTACTTACTTTAAGACCGAATTCTCTGATCATCTGGTGAATAATTTTGGAGTATAAATCAAAAGTATTTCTATTACTTCTTCTTACTCAATAGTACATTTATCACTCGTTACTTATAAACTTACTAACTTCCACTTACAAATTTCAGTTACATAGTAGAATCACGTAAGAAACCATGACTTCATAGATGTAAGCCATAAGAGTCATAATTGTGTGAAGCTTGTTAGTATATTTCGATTTTTTTTTATTCCGGTAAAACTTTTCTGGTAAAATCATTTCTAAGTAATTTCTTTTTGCTATGTTACCATTTAAGATGAAATAGCCTATTGTATAGAATTTACTTTTCATTTGATAAATTAAATGAATGTAAGCATTTTACCAATTAAAGCTAATTTCAAACTTACGTCGATAAATCAGTAATACAATTAGGAATAGGAATAAGAGAAGTAAAGCAACGGAGAGCAGACTGTAGGTCAATAAGCTTGTCACCTGATTCAGTGGTTGAAATAAGGATGAATAAACCTTAATTGTAGGAAAAAACAAAACGAAGACTATGAAATATACCTGAAACATAAAAAGTACACTTGAAATGAGCTCGATAATTTTGACTAAACGAAAACAGTCCTTTCAAACATTGCAATTATTGCATAGCATATGTTAAGGAGAATGTTTTATTTTGACTGTTATTTACCTCCTGAATAACGAAAAAAATTATCTTAGGCTCTAAACAGATACTTCCAGACATCAATTGTACAAATACTCGATTGATTTTATTGAAGAAAACAGTTTTCCTAATCAATTAGTTTCCATATTCTGTAAGCTGATAGGTTCACCAGTGAAGCTTTTATTGTGTTTCTCAGTGAAATAATCAAATACGAAGTTGAAAAATTTCTTTGTATATACCTAGGAAGTTTACTTTGAAATGTTGTATTGCCTGTTTTGCTGATCGAATTACTGGATTCATATTTCCTTATCATTTTTATGTTTAAAATTATTTTTATGCTCCAGTTATTGGGAGGATATTTAGTGATGTTTAACTATAATTGATGACGACAAAAAAGACCAACGACACTGTGTACTTTTGTGTTTTACACATTCATTAAATTACGTTTAGAAAATTATATTTCATTCATGTTCGTTTGGCAGTAAATACTTTAGCTGGATAGTAAAAACTGGACAGATCTTGTTCGTTTTTAAGCTGGATGTATTCCGATAATCCCCGATAATTTGATTGTAATATTTGAGATATTTATTATACGGGATGACAAAATCCGTTCGTTACCTTCGAATACAATTTTCGGGCTAAATGTTCTTGACTGTCCGCTTGATAGATTTTTGAGTGCACACTCTTCAAGAAGATAATCATTAGACATATTTCAGTACTTTTCTGCAAAGCACATTTGTGTCGAATACTATATGTTTTCTAAATAATAGCCTTACATAAGTTTTATGAGCCGTTTAATTATTGTTACTATAGCTGAAGATTTGGTTATTATGAGTACACTTGTTCTATACCTAACCCTCGGATTTTCCAGCATTGATCACCAGGAGGTTTTGTTCGATTTCTCTCTTAATCCAAACATTTTATTGCCGATAAGCGTTGTTAATAAATTTGTGAGCGTTTTTCAATTCTTTTTATTCGGAAGTGATAAATAAACCATGTTAGTGGCAAATCGGAAAATTATGTTAGACAGCGAGACTATAATTTATGGACGGACCGAACAGAAGCCAGTGAGCGCCTTCATGGTCACGGCACCTATTTCAATATCTAATGCTCACGTCATAGTTGGGCGGCTACAACAGACGGGACTACTGAGAAGTTCCTTTATTTGCTATTACGGTATCCTAATGACTGCTGGACATTTTACAGACTCGTTGTGATGTTGTACTTCTATGTAATATATGTTGGAGAAAAACGTCTTTAGAACGAGGACTTTTTCCGCTTGATCCTGATTGACACTAATACAGATTATAATAATAATAACTTTACAGGTGTCACTGAAGCTTCGGAAGTTCAATGGTATGATTACTGTCGAGATATATGTGCAATGAAAATAACAAGCTTCCATTAGTCGTTTAGAGAAATCAGAAAAATCTTAGAAATCGATGAAACGGTCGCTAGAAAACGCAAGTTCAATAGAGAATAAAGTGTTATAGAAGACTGAGTAAGTAGAACTTCCTTAGACATAATTAGAAGGTTCGTGGTATATATGATAGACCATCTCTAAGGAACACTTCTAGTGCCTGAGAAACCGACAAGCTACAACTACGATACCAATTATACGAGAGTATATGCAACCGAGTACTACGATACACACAGATGACTGGAGAGCATATAAATGCCTATCTAGACTTTGTTATGGGTATCGTATCGTCTCTTACAAGCGACATTTTTTAGATCCCACTACGGGAGTACACACCAACAATATAAATGCAATGTGACATAAAGCAATTCATCAGAAATTATTAGGGAACCATCAACAGTTAAACATTTAACAACAAAGTGGACAGAAATAACAGTATTCTTCCCACAATTTTCTAAAAGAGTTAAGGCTAATGAACATAATGATCAAACAAAGTGTCGATTTAATTCATATTTATTTTACATTTTTCTATATCTTCTGTAAAGAAGAACACCGTTTCAGGAAATACTTGTACACATTACAGTTGTGTGATATATTTTTAATATTTTATGAAATAATTATAACGCCATTTGCAGTTAATAAGTTTTAAAATTAGTAGTCACATATTAGGATGATCTATCTCGCTGTCTGAAATTCTTACTATTGTTTATATTAGTGAGTCGAATTTCATTTTGTAAAATTTGAGGAGAATTGGAAATAACATATGTGATTTTGACAGATTCAAATTCCTTGAGTTATAAGTTAACTTCGTCAAAGTTTTGTTACCATACTAGATAACAATATGGGAAGTTAAGAAAGCACAATAATTGTGACAAACTCTCATGATCACTTTGAATGCTGTTGATTACATTCATACTGTTTGAACGTCGATTCGAATTGAATTTTACAGAATCTTTAATACATTTCATTCTATTCAATTATAGGTAATCTGTACTAACATTTAGATGCAATCAGTAACTTAATTTGTTGTTGTTTGCACTGTTCTGTTTAAGAGGTAGGTCATTAGTGAGTACTCTTCAAGAATTCAAAAATATAACAAAATATATGTTTGGTGCTAATATATTTTATGTCTGTCAGTTTGTATTTAAAACTATTTTCAGGTAGTTACCTATGTTTGTGAACTTCAGTAGTAAGCTGTTCAGTCATATATTTAGTTAAACGAGAACTTTATTAGTTGAAAGATTTTAGGGATCTTTTCATGACGACATTTTTTTAAGTACACAGAATGCAGATAGCACCCTTTACTTGCAAAATTACGATAATACTACTAAAACTACAAATAAGTAGTTCAAAATATAAGTCAAATATATATGAGCAGACACCTAAACCTTGAAGTATTTCGGCGGATGTTTACGATTGAGAAGGGGCATGAAAATTTAAAGCACTTACACTTAATAAACATAAATTTCCATCGGCAATAGTTTATTCAAAAACATGCTTGAGGTCATGGGATCTTTGATCTGTTTTACGCATTAGCAAGCAACAGCTGTTTTGTTAATCTTCAAAGAAAGTAGGTAATACAAGCGGTACCTGTTGTTTTGTTCTTTTAGCTTGTTCGTTAACAGACTTCCATCATATAAAACTTTTTTATCCTAGTATTTTATGATCCCTTCTACTTATCTGTCTTTGGTAATCATAAATTTTTTCTTCCAAAAAAATACACACCGACTTTAATTTTTTCAATATAGTTAATCGGTAAGTTATTCTGTGCTTTAAATTTTATGAGTACACATGTATTTCTGAGTGCATCAAATATATATATATATATATATATATATATATATATATATATATGATATTGTCAAAAGAAACAAAACTTTTATTCCGGAGTAGACGAACCTTTATAGACATATATAGTATGTCTTCTCGTCTACAACGTGTACACTGTTAACTATCAAGCCTGGTTGTTTGTTTGACTCGTATAACATACTTATGACTATAGAAATAGTAAAAAAGTGAATAAAAGAATACTTTTCTGGCATCCGAATTTTTCTTATGGTAGACTTATAAATTGCCTTAATTAAACTTATATGAAAAGAGATTATTTTGAAATCGTAAGACAATAAGCGACTTGACGAATATATAAAATATATTGAGTCAGAATCAGTGAATAAGAACACAGTTGTCAGTCAGATACATAAATAAGACAAGATTATTAAAACGTTAGAAACCAGCTAATCCATCGACCGTCTGATAGTTTTACAGTTGTGGTTTTGATAAATATTTCTCATTGCATATTAGTATAAACTGACAATAATCATAACAATATCTCTAAGGTCCGTATATGATACGGGGTTAATTTCTATTAGATATCTACTGAAAATCTTGCAATATACAATTTCATTTGCGTTTTGATCACCCGTTTTTAATGTTTATACAGAGAACATTTCCGCCTAAATTGGAATTTAAATTATTTGACCCTTACATTGGACCTATTTGTCGTTTAAAAATACACATTGTCTTCTGTTTAGATTTGCTACTAAATTATTTTTTCCACTCGTTTAGTCATCTAAACAGATGAACATCATTTCTTGCCTGAAACGACTTCAGATTTTAAATGAATTGCTAGAATTGAATTCAATGTACTTTGAAAATTGAAGCTAAGATGTTGATATTAAAAAGTATTAGCTAAACAAAATATAGACTTATCTGGAACTTTTTGAAATGGTGGTCTTATGATCAAGTAAGCTGGATCACTCATTCCAATCTTATTGACAGCTCTCAACTGAAATGCACTTTGGTGATTCGTATCCAATGTGATGTTAGCTTGTTTATCTGTTAAGTTATGTGGTGTTATTGAATCCCATTTTGGTTGTTCTGAATTACTTGAGACAATCGGCCTACAAATAAAAATAATATATCAAATTAAAAGAGAAAACGTACACAACATAGTTAAACTAATTATGACCGTGGTCCTCTTATGAAGCATACAATAAACAGTATTTACATGAATAATTTGAAGTTAATATTATCTAAAATCACTTATTCATTTAAAAGATTAGTATTAACCAATGAGAGGTTTTTATGTGGCTTAATTTTATTTCTTCTAGTGTGATATATGACGTAAGCAGTTGTAAACACCAAGTAAATTCAAAGAAAAAACTTTAACATCGTTTATTCCCATGTGATCAATGTATTCATCACATCAAATTCAACAGGACAATAGCCTTATTTTGTCATGACTTGATAACCTCGAGTGAAAATAATCATAGTCAAAAGATGATACAATCGATATTTATAAAACAATTTAAGTGGGAACAGTTAATTAAACAACTGTCAAAGGGTCATAGCGATTTAAAATTTCACCTGAAATTTTGTTTTTATACATTCTGTTGTCCAAACAAAATTGGACTGGTAAACCAGAACTGAATTTCCTCAAATTATTAAAGGAATGAAGTTAGTTTAAGGTAATCAAGGTTTTGAATATGAATCCATTTCTTTTGTCTCTTTCGTAGAAAAGCGATTTAAAATAATTAACAGATCATTCCTTTTGTATAAATACATGAATTTTTATAACATAATGGAGTTATGCTAAGTTGGATTACATATGGAAATTTATCTAAACTATATTATATAGTTTAAATGATTAAAAGTGAACTGTAACAATATTTAAAATATAAATGTGAATGTGAGTGGATTTAAATTAATTTTCCGTTTATCTATTGATAGTAACTGCTTATGAAACTTTGCAAATTTATAGAAGAGTAAAATAGAACTAAATGCAAAACGATGAAAATGTTCGAATCTATATCAGTCATATATATATCCTGAATTTAGTAGTCCTGAATAAATTAGATTACATTAATTCGCTTTACAATAAAAATTATATTCTGCTTTTGAATTGCATTTAGGAATATTAAACATACTTTTCTGTTCCCAAGTAGAACTAGCGATAGGACACATATTTGTAAATATGTAAATAGAACTGGGGTCAGGGAACAAAAGTATAACCTATAGGTTCTTTAGAAATAGATATTTACCATAAGATTTAGTAATTTAGAGAGGATTTCGAAAACGGGTGTATTATTTTCAGTGATATTTATCCACGTGACAGATAATTCAATTTATAAACATATTTCCTTATATTTGTGTGTAGTCCATGATTGATAGGGAACTAAAATATTAAACTAACCCAGTACTGAAGAAGATGAAGGAAACGAGGCGAAACTTAGAATCATAAGGAAATAATTAATCAAAAAAATAACTTCTTAACTATCCGACCTGTCATATTGGTATGCATATTATCATAACCTGGTTTGTTTTATGCAGATTTTTACATAGTTTGAAGTTGGTTCTCGTCAGGAATTGCCAATAACTAAAAAATCATTAAGATTTGATATATGGATCATCAGACAGTTAATTGGTTGTCTTGTAGTAACTCGTGATCTGACTCCAAATGGATCGTATGAATGTTTGGTTGCTATTGCCTATCCTCGTATATAATCATTGACTTAAATTAAATAAGTCAAATGACGAGAATGGACTTTTGAATGCATATATTTTGTATAATTGTTGATTAGACAAACGAATGGGGGAACGACGCGAAGAGAAGAAAGCGAAGCAAAATTGACGAGCGGTGGAGATGGCTGGTAAGCCAACTCCCTTTTAAC